TTTGTTGTTGTTGTTGAAACTTCAGTGTGTGATACCCTAAATTGTAAAGAATAAGACAATGATCTCAAGTTCCTTTGGGTGTAAAAGTTTTATGAGTAAGTTCTTAATATTTGGTCATCCTGGGTTTACCTTCATTTCCTTACCACTCATAAGACTAATCATCTTCGTTTTCTTTTTTTTCACATTTAAGATAATTTACTGTTTTTTATTCTCTAGGTAATGATTCCAAATTAGCTAATGTCAGATGTATTTTCTTCTTTTCTATTTTATTTTTTTTTCATTCCTTTGACCAATATTTCCCTGTTCTCATTTTCAAATCAATCATGCCCTTTGTACACACACTCAAAACTAATTTTTCTAAATCCGGTATATACATATTTTTACATAAGCAAATATTTATACTTGGTTACAAATCAGGTTTGTCACTTCTGTTTTCTGCAGAGCTTATTAAACTTTTCTTGATTATTCTTACCTATTCTTTAAGCTCTTAAAATTATTTTATTCTTTTCTTACAATAGTATTTGTCAAATGTTTACTTTTATATTTTTTCTGCATTTTTCTCGGACTTGAGTAACTTCATTTAAAACAAACTGTATCCTTCTCTCTCTAATACAGAGAGAAAATACAGATTTTCTCTAAACAGTTTAATAACTTATTTTGATTTGATCTCATTTTTATATGACAATTTTTTCTCAGAGGATTTAATATCTAGTTTATTGTCTTTGTAACTTTGCAAGGAGGATAAAATGAAAGGGGTGTAAAACAAGTGTTATAGGAAACAATTGTTGCAAGAAACAATTGGAGGAAAAGCAAAATTTCCCTGGTATGGAACAAGTCTGTAATTTCTACATTGCTCTATGTGGGAAAACTGATTGAAAAGTAAAGCAGGAGAATGTTCTTGAAGGCAAGACTGTCTACAATACTATGTTTACATCTACTCTATGTTTGTTTAGCCTGGATTTGAAAATTTTCACCAGTGCACATTAAGATCTATTAAACTCGTCATTTTAAACAAAAAGTCTGCAGTATGTTAAGTGATTTTTTTTTTTATCCAAATGTGATGTTGAGTCTCAAACCCTGTGTACTTCCTGGAACTATTTCATGCAGTCTTACATCCTGGATCTTATTCAAAATTACCTTGACAATAATATCACTTTTTCTTGGTATTCACATAGCACTTGAAGTTATATTTATATTGTGTCATGTCCACTGACATTTTATTGTCTTTTTTCTTAAGTTTTTCAACATGACTTCTCTGGGGGGGCGGTGTATTTTTAGTGCAGCTGAATGCTGCAAGTGCCTAAGATAAAATATACTTGATGAAGTTAAGCTCATAATGGAGTATTACCACATGGCCACAGTAATGTTTGTTAAATTGAATAGAATTGACAGTCAGAAAGATGAAATAAACTGGGTAAGTTAGTGTTTTTATAATTCCATCTGTGTCATAAAGCCCAACATTAGAGAAGGGTGTTATTGCTCTGATTCTTTCACTGCTGACATAATGTTCAGAGAATGAGATCCCTATCTTTTTGAAATTTTGTAAAAAACAGTGTCAGAAACAAATTACAGAAACTATGAGTTGCTGGTCATCATGTGAGAATTTCTATACTATCACAAGTTTCTTTATCAGCTATGCATTTCTTGCCTCTGTATAGTATGGTATAATAATATCCGTTTCACATGCTTGGCTTTAAGGCCCCATCTTTCACCTAAATTGTCATTGATCCTCTCACAGCATCTATAACATTTCTCAACACATGTAGGCAAAATGATCTCTTAAAGCAGGAAGTCTAAGGGTTGCCAGAGTAGCTGCCTAGCAAGTACAAGTCACTGAATTCAATGCCTCAGAACTACCCCCATCACAAAAAGAAAGAAAACCTTGACAAATTCTATATCAAGCACCAGTGGTTTATGCCTGTAATCCTAACTAATCTGGAGGTTGATATTGGGAGGATCAAGATTTCAGGTCAGACTAGATTAAAAACTTCCTGAGACTCCCATCTCAACCATGTATAATACCAGTTATACCATGTATAATACCTGACTGAGATCAGGAGGATCACGGTTTCAGGTCAGACTGGACAAAGGTCTGTGAGATACCGTCACAAGAGAAAAGAAGCTGGATATGATGCTGTGCACCTGTCATCCAAGCTATGGATGGAAGCATAATTTAGGAGGATCTGGAACCAAAAATCCAGACCCTATCTCCAAAATAACCAGAGCAGAAAGTGCTGGAGGCTCAAGTGGTAGAGTGCCTACCAAGCAAGCATGAAGCCATGAATTCAAACCTCAATACAAATTCCTTGGCCAAAAATTTAAAAAATATTTTTGACTTTCCTCTTCAAGTTTGTTATTAATAGTTTCTTTTATTGATTTTATTCCTTTGTCCAGGAAGAACTATAATGTCTGTGGCTCTTCAAGTTTGACATGCTCACTGCTATATGTGTGCCTTACACACTATTCCGTGTTCCCCAAATATCCTTCACTCCTCTCTACCCATTTCCCTCTTAAGAGCACAATGTAAACAACAGCTTCTCTAAGAAGGGCTCAAAATATCAATTGCTTCCATTGGAAAACCTTCTTGGATTTTCCAAGATTGGATTAAGTCCCATTAACGTGCTGTGCAGGATATACACACCTGTCTCATGCAAAGCTTTGAAATTTTGTTTACTTATTAGCCTCCCGCCCCACAATACAAGTTCATTAAGGTGCTCTGTCTTGTTCTCTTCTAAATTTCTGTTAATTATGAATGGTAAAACGTAATGACTGAATTCTTCAAGTTGCTACAAACTGCCTTAAATTCACTCACTTTTAGGCCCTTAGAGGGACACGTGCCCAATTCAGGAATTTATCAAAGAAAAAGCGCTAATAATTTCAGAACAATTATGTATAAATGGCATTTGAAAATGCTTATGGATTGTATTTATGTATATGATCTACAAAATGCACATGATATTTTCTTATTAGAAATAATTGGGAGAACCATTATGGTGGATCTCTTAGAAATGGCTTTAGTTGATTGATATTATTTTTCTACTTAGAGTCTACTTATATGACTGTCAGTTCTCTTCTTTTCAGTAATATTTATTGACTGTTTCACGTCAAGGCACAGTGACAGGCAGAGATTGTACAAGGCAGCAATATGATATTTTGTAGCAATAGACTTTTTTTTTTTTTTTGTAGAGAGCAAATCTAGTTTAAGGGGTAGAAAATGCTTGAATATTTGTGGCTCTGGCCTCCATGAAGTGAAGCTGCCCTGTGGAGTTGAAGAATGCCACATTTTCACTGCTACACATTCATTACATTTTCCATCATTTGCCAAAGATCAGGAGTCCACAGAGTCTTAGTGAGGTGAGGAGAGACTGGAACCCAAGTCTCTAGATATGAGGACTGCTTAATTCCTCTTTTACCAGTTATCAATTTAGAATCTTTGTGAGCAATTTTTCTGTAATCAAGTAACCTTCATACATGGTTCTTATCACTGCTTCCAGTGATGTTACTTCATAGGATAGTCATGCCTACAGTTGTCTTAAAACACATGCAGAGTATGAAAAACACTAACGATTTGGATTTTCTAATACACAAATTCTATGGAACTGTTCTAAAAGAAGCATTTACTTTTGCTTTCTCCTTTTGAACTCCTATAATAAAGCATGACTGATAGGAGAACTTTTTGTTTTCAAATATATTCAAGAAATCTAAAGGGCCAAATGATGAAAAATTATGTAAGTTGTTTTTTTACATTGTAGCTGAAATTGCTATGTTGGTTTTAATTTCCCAGTTCAAATTTACAATTTTTCTGTAGTATAAAGATGTACTTGGCAGTGCAGAGATCAGAGCCATCTCTTCTTCATTAAATCGGGCAAGGAGGACTCACTGGCTCTCAAACTGTTAAATGGATTTTAGGGTCTTTAATGAATGGAACATTTATTTTTGTGCCAACTTGACTAACAACATTGACATGATTAGCATACATTTTGGCAACTGTGCTAGCACAAGGTGTTAGTAAAAAGGGGCTTTTATCTTTGAGCTTAATTTACTTTGGCTATCTCTCTTATTAATGTTTTTAATGTAAATGAGATGATTTTGCAAAGGAAATCCTATCACAAGAAGTTGTTCAGAAATACATTTTTTAATTAAGGTTACAGACATTTCTCAGGCTGGAGATGAAGTTCATACCCCAAAACATATGAACCTTTTTCAAATTTAAAACCGAATAGACTATTTTGTTATTTATATTGATGACAAAAGTCATTGAAATTATGGAGGATTTATTTTTATTAATGGTGTTATGTGTATCCTGTAGTTTCTGTCTTTAAAAAAAAGAAAAATAAGAAAGAAAGTATGACTGGAAAAGGATGGGTTCCTCCACTGCTATACCCCAATTATGGATGCAAACTTTTGGGGGTTAAATGACTTTACAGTTGCTAAGTTCATGTGTCTCTTATATAAAAGGAACAATCAGAAAAATGTATTTACTTTTGAACAATCACTTCTGGTTCATATGCTTATTATTTTATTTACTCAAATTATCAAATTAAAGAAAAAAGAAAAATGAATCAATACAGATCCAAAATTTCTTGGATGTTTCAATTCAGTGTTTTTTTGCTTTACCATGTATTTTTACTTTAAAAAATTATTGCAAGCTACTGAAACACAGTTATCAAGGGATTTGCTATAAGTATGTGGTAAAATGTAAGTTTATAATTGATACCAAATCATTAACTTAATATGCATATGCACAAACATGGCTAGAAATTTTCATATGAACTTAAACATATAGGCTGACTCTTTTTCTACCTTATATGTCCATAACTACACACATCCTTAATTAATTGCCCTAAGGAGTAATGAAATTTCAGTTTAATAAAAACTCTAGCATAGAGCAATGCTTCGCTTTACACACATTTAACCCTAGAAATAGCTGCCAATAACAGGCACTTCAGTGAAAGAACAAGCCCATGTTCAAATATAAAATGTTAAAAATGAGAAAGAAATTATGAAAATATATCCTTTAATTTGCAGACATATAAACAGTTTTGGTACAGTACAGACACATAATGTGAGAAAGTAAAATAATCCATTTGAAATTAAACATTCCTCGTTTATACAGATAATTTTGCTATAGTTTTTAATGTAAAATAAAATTTCCAGCTCACTCAATGAAGTAAAATTGAGAGATCACTGAGGAACCAGTTTTCTTCAATGCAAAAGATTCAGTAAAAGCTAAATTACCAGGAATCTGCTGCTGGACTTACAAATAAACTCTTGAACCTAATCCAAAGTCAAAGAAAGGAAGCCAAAAATGGTAGTCAGCACATCTAAACAACAACAAAAAGAAAGTATAACATTTATACAAAATGCCCAACTAAAACAACAAGTATTGTACACTAGCTTCTAGAATAATTCAATTTTAATATGACTCTTATTTTTTATGTGATGAATTTAAGCATATAAAAATCTAACATATAACCCAAGTACAAAGTACTACTGACAAATCGCAAAAGCACTAAAACTTCATGAATACTGAAGAAGTAACTAAAGCAAGTAAGACTCAAGATACCTTTTGCTCTGGCTGTTTTTCTTGGGCACAATTTCTACTTACATTTTCTGTAAGAAAGAATAGATATATTTTCCCCAGTAATTATAGCAAATGCAGTGGTAAAGCAGACAGATAGCAATTTGTGTACACAGAAAGTAAAATACTCTTCAGCAGTTCAAATTCATAACACATGGCAATGTTTTTCTACTTTCTAAAATGAAACTATACTTCTTTTTAATGCCTTCTCTTTCAAACTATATGTGATTTACCTATGAGGTAATAAACATTCTGCTAACAAGTGCATTTCTTTTTTTATATATTTAAGTAGGGTAAAATTCAATTTGCTTTAATTTTATATTATTTAATGTTAAAAACAATATATTTAAAATATACTCTCTCATTAATTTCATGTACAACTGTCATGTACAATACCTCAAACAGTTCCCTGCAAAGTAGCAGCTGATGCCCTCTTGTGGTGAAAGGAAATTTTAGAACAACAAAAAAGTACCATTTTCTTACCTTATTTCCTAGGTTTTATCTATCATCTGCTTGGTGTAAGAAAGCTGCAATTCATTTCCAAACTTTTTTTTATAAATAACAATTCCATAGCTGTTAGTACTAATTTTCATTTAAAAATTCTGTACACATTTTATAACCTCTGAATTTGAATTTAAAAACCTGTAAACAGCTATTTACAATATATTACAAGTTATAAATTAGATGTTCTTCATTGGGAATGCCAACTGCACAGTTTTGTTTGGGTGATGAAGATGATCCAAAGTCAGTCAGAACATATCACTGTGCTATTCCACAATGAAATATTAAATATTAGAAATATCCATTGGCTTTCTCTCTCTCATATGCAAGTCAATTTTTCCTTTTAGTGGAATCTGTACTTCCATATTTTCATCTTCTCTGTGATGTTGCTTCCCTTTCCTTAAGCAGAGGTATATGCCCATCCCTGTCACTAGTGTGATAGAACCCAAGCTTATTACAGACAGAGCTACTAGCGTGGCCATACAGGACACAGACTCTACCTTCCTATGAGTTGGTTCTATTGAGATTTGTGGTTCTTTCTCTTCTATGTTAATCTCTGGTTCTTTTCGTAAAAGACTCTCAATGTAGCTCTCATTACTGACAGTATCATTGACAAATAGGTTCACCATGACTGTGGAATAGAGAGGCTCTGGATAACCATGATCACTCACTTTGACCAGTAATCGATGCAGTCCATAATCTGTCTGCAGCAATGCCTCTTCCAAAGTAATGTTGCCAGTTTTAGGGTCAATTCTAAAGGACTCAGGTCTGGGGCCTCTTCTTCCTATGATACTATAAGCTATGACAGCATTCATGCCTGTGTCTTTGTCAACAGCATAGACCTCTGTAACTGGGGAGCCAGGGAGAGTAGAAGGCAGTACCAACAGGTAAGACATATTAGACTGGGGAAATAAAACAAGAGGAGGGTTGTCATTGATATCTAGAAGGAGAATTGTGATTTTTGTGGTAGAGGAGAGGGCAGGTTCACCCCCATCAACAGCTTCAACCCACAAAGTATAGGAACTTTGCTGTTCTCTGTCCAAAGAGACTTTAGCTCTCAACATGCCCTTTCCTGTATCTATAACAAAAATGTCACTCTGGTTCACCACTGAAAGGGCAACCCATCCATTTCGCCCAGCATCAGCATCTGTTACACTAATTACACCAATTTCACCATATCCTGGAAAGTTTTCTGGCACAAAAAAGCTGAAGTCCTTGTTGATAAACCTAGGACTGTTGTCATTTTTATCCAACACTGTGAGAGCCACAGTGGCTACTGATTCTCTAGGTGGCTTCCCACAGTCAACAGCTCTGACAGTGTACCTGTACTTTTCTTTTTCTTCTCTGTCCAGCTGAGTAGAAACAGTCAGAATTCCTGTGACACTGTCTAAAGAAAAATATGATGGAGCATCAGGTCCCAAAAAATATGAAACTTGACCTCTCTCTTCACTGTCAGCATCTGTAGCATACAGTTTAGTCAAAAAGGCATTAGGTGCATTGTTTTCTTCAATGGTTAATTCTATCAAGGGCTGAAGGAAAACAGGAGCATTGTCATTATCATCTAAAAGTTGCACTTTAATGATTCTTTTGACATGAAATCCCTCTGAATTCCAGGCCACTACAGCTATTTCATAGAACTGTTGTAGCTCATAGTCCATAGGTTTTGTGGTCTCTAGCAAATATTCATTATTATATGGTTTGTAGGGTGATAACCTAAATGGCCCTTCCCCATCCAGGTAGCAGTTGATTTTGTATTTACCTTCTGGATCTCTTATGGTGAAAAATGCAATTGGAGTGTTAACAGGTTCCAGTTCCTTCAGGTAAACAACACCATCTATCTCATTTGCTATATAACGTGGGACAATTTCAGGTGGTCTGAAAATGACTTTGATAATGGACACCAGAGCAGTGATCACAGCAGGGATACAGCCTGGTCCATTGGCAAGGATGGTGAGCTTGTGTGTTTGTAGAACACTGCCTCCTATCTTACTGAAAAGTTTAATGACTCCAGTAGTTTGATCGAGATGGAATAAATCCTTGGATGCTTGTGGAACCTTCTGGCTGTAAGTGTAGGTGATCTGAGCATTGGTTCCTAAGTCTTTATCCATAGCCTGGACAGCTGCAATTGGGGTGCCTACTGTAGCATTCCCATATACAGTGACATTGATTTGTGAGTCCATGAAGACAGGGCAATTGTCATTAATATCACTTATTCCAATGGTGAGGGTGGCGCTTCCCATCAATGGTGGAGATCCTCCATCCTCGGCTATGATGATGCTCACATACTGATCCTGGGTTTCTCTGTCCAAAGCTCCCATGACAATTAGGTAGGGAGTGCGTTCCCCATTCTCATTCTCCTCCACGTCCAGGGTGAACATGCCATGGTAGTCCAGTAAGCGATAGGTCTGCACTCCATTGATACCTATGTCTGGGTCCACAGCAGGATGCTCTATGGCCAAGCGGGTATTTACTGGTGCATTTTCCGGAACCCAAACAGAAATTTGGGAAACAGGGAACTGCGGAGCATTGTCATTAATGTCCCTGATGGCAATTTTCACTTTCACAAACCGAAAGTATTCCTGAGGCAGGACCAGCACATCCAGAAGCAAAAGGCAAGAGTCAGAGGAAGGGGAGGAGGAAATGGAAATACTGCCTCCCCAGGCTGCCCCTCCACCTCCATCAAGACACAGGGCCTCTCTGTCGATCTCCCGTGCAGAAGTGTGCAGCTCCCCAGAGCGGTTGTCCAGGGTCACGTACTGGCCACTCAGCCCTCCGGAGGCCAGGCTGAAGGAGAGAGGGGGGTTCCATGGCGCACCACGGCGCTCTGGCGGCTGCGACTGTTGGTTCTGGGTACCCGCGGCACGGGGTACCAGCCTCAGGTCCTCCGCCAGACTGCCGATCAGCACCCCTGCGGGCAGTCCCTCGTTCAGGCTGTACAGAAGCTCGGTGGCCCGGCTGTAACTCGCGAGGCAGTTGAAGGGTCCCACGAAGAGGAAAAACAGAAACACATGCTGGAGCGGAGGGAGGGGAGAAGGTTCATTATACACATGGAAATAGAGATCGGAGTCATAAACCAATGCCTTCGGGGTCGATACTGCCCCCATCCCGTTTCCAGGAGAAAAACCTCTAGTTAGAAAGGAGCAAAGAAGAAACTTGCTGCAAAGGAGAGATTTGTGGAGCAATACCGTTTCCAAAACTTATTTTTTTTCTGTTCATTTTCTATTGCTTTTGCCTACCCTCCCACCCCCCAACCCTGGCCCCATCACTACCCTCATCCAGCTAACATTCAGAATCCAAAACTGAAAAGCATCCCAGGAAATACATGTTGAAGTAGAGAGGACTCCAAGTCAGAGGACTGCGCAACGCGACAGGGAAGGCTTCTTGGGTTATGGGGAGGGAGGGGCCTGGTGGAGAGCACTGGGAGGTGGGCGATTTGTTTCTCATTGAAATGATTCTGCCATTAGGATTCCAGAACACGTAATGGGTTACATCTCTTTCTACGAGACTAATAAAACAACAGCAATAGCAATAATAATATGGAAAACTCGGCAACACTGCCCACCTGCTCCGCATCCCCAGCGCTTTAGGTCGGACAAAGTGATTTTCATTTGTAGCACGCATGTAAAATCAAATTGAAACGGTCTAGATCTCTGTCCCCCACCGAGCCCTCACGGATCCCTCTATCTTAGGGGCACAGGAAGTAAACGCAAAAAAATGATTATGCACAAACAATCTGTCAAGACAGGAGACAATCCTAGCCAGATACCGGCTGCAGGGAACAACCTCCGAACCCCTGAATCTAAGTAGGGTAGGGATGAGCGCACCCTCTGTCCCCTCCACTTCATGTGCCTACGTTTCTGCTTCAAAAACTTCCTCACACGGCCCGAGGACTTGGCTATTCCTTGCTAAAATCTAGACACATCATCTCAAACTCCCTTTCCCTTCCCCCTATCCTCCCTTGAAGTTTGAATTCAGGCAAAAAAGGTTGGAAAAATCCATCAAAGGAGTTAAGAACTGCTTCTCAGTATTGCAACTTGTCAGGGCTGCAGGGCTCCGGAGTCCTTACCGGCAGGTTCCTGTGACCTGTGCTGCTCCTGGGACGAAGTAGACGCCCCATATCCAGGCGCGGGTGCCAGGTCGCCGGGCTCCCGCTCACTGCCAGGGCCCGCGAGCTGCGCGCGTCCCCTCGGCCGCGCATTCCCAGCGAGGCTGCAGTCAGCGCGTTCCTGATGGGAGGGCGGCACAAGACACTCCCTCTCCGTCCATGCAAATCCCCGGGAACTTCAGCCAATAGTCACCGGCTTGTCAATTAAGGACACGAACTAAGGGGGGCAGAAAGGCGAGGGGGCACCAGGGCACATTCACCGTTTCTAGCCCTGGACGCCGGCACCTCCAGACCAGGTCAGAGAACCCGGAACTGGGGACTCGCGGGGCGAAGACTGCGACGAGGCGCCAGCGGGTTGTGCACCAGAGCGCGTGCCTACCAGCCACCCTCTTTGCTGCACCAGTCAGATCCTAAGCCTACAGGTTGTTAGCCAAGAGAGAGAGAATTAAAATAAATAAATAAGCCCACATTTGTATCTGAATGCAGAAGAGAGACAGAGAGAGAGGAAGTCAGCTCCACAAGCAGTCACAGGCGTCCCTCTCTGCCCTCCCCCCCAAACGTGCTGTACCATCAGTTCCTCAGGGAGAAGACTCGGATCCGGGAGTGTCTGCA